TAGAAAATGATTTATAAATGATGAATTTATGATTAACGTTTGTTAATTTTTTCCGTGACATCATAAATATATCTCATATTAGATCTTTTTTTTGAACTGATGTATTTTTAATCAATGAAAATCTGTATTTCTGCTGATGGATTCAAAACATCAGAATGTTTTGTTTCATACCATCACAAATAGAAAATAAGCTAATATTTGAAGATGTGATGAGAGCTATAAGTGAGTCTGAATAATTTTATTTCAAGTTGATATTGGGGTCTTCACGAAACGAACTAGATTATATGTTTCCTTTGAGGATTATGAACGATATTATGTAAAAAGTATCTGATATAATAGTTATACTTGTATGTATGTTATATATAACAGGGCATATAGCATACATATTATTCTCGAAATAAAGATATCCTGATATCATAAAAAGCAGAACAACTCTAGTCACCAAAAAATAATAAAGGATAACTGCAATATTTGATTGGAAAGAAGGTATTATTCGGAATTGTATTGCACCGAATATAGCGTTTTGAATAAACAGTTCTTCTGCAAAATTGATATCGAAGATACTTATTCTAGCGATTTCCTACATATTTTTCGAATAATTGCGGAGTGATTGACATATTAGTAACATCATCATTTACAGAATATTGGATAGAGAAACGTCGTTGAGGTGTGAGAAGTTTCCATCTGTAAACTCATGGTCAGTTTCTCAACTTCAATTGATGGTCCATGGAAAAAGTCCGTACATAATGTACGGATTTCAAAACTTTAATTGAAAATGTTCAATAAGATGAAGATTTCAGGGTAGTAATTGAAGCAGATTGAAAGCCTTCTGATGTCCACGAAGGTCGTTTTAATCGACCAACAGTTCTAGAGGGGAGTTAGGTGATTGTGGGTCGAGAGTTTGAGAGGAGAGACATTATTCTTCATGGAAAGGATTCTAATCTGCAACGTTGCAGTGAAATACATTAATTTATACGACGTTTTGCAGAATCCTCTGATGTTTTATCGTGGAGAGGATGGCTACTCTATAAAATTCCTCAACGTGACTCAAGTAGTGAAGACGTCCTCAATGAAAGTGTTTCCGCTTCCGATTTCTATACCTACATGTTCATGGAAAAGAAAGATGTAATAAATTACATTTTACTTCCTCAATGTCTCCTAAATCAGTAGTTAGTAGACGTGTATGCTAAAATAGAAACAAAAGGATTGAATTGCATCCGAAATATTGGAAGTAGATAGTTTACGAGATGCAATGTGTCGGGCTAATAGTCATGTTTCTAATGTCGGACAGATGGTAGTTTTTCCATTTAGTTATAGTTTTTCCATTTAGTTTTACTGGTGGACCCTGCTACAAGTATGAACGAACTCAGAACGCATAACATTTACATGTAATCAGAAGTGGACTAAAATACGAGATACTCTTCTACTACGTCAACAGTCTCAAGTCAGGAATTACATTATAGGCCGCATCTTTTACTTGAGAGTTGAGACTTCGATGCATATTTCAACTAAAGGTAACCTCTTTGGTTCACGGAGTTGTAACATTTATACTTTTGAGTGGCAAAAGCGGAGTTCACCACATGTGCATTATTTACTATTGTTCCATGTCAGAATATTGCCATCTGAAATTAAAAATATCATATCTGCAGAAATTCCAGATTCAGATGCAGATCCTGCGCTTTATGAAATTGTCAAAGCCAAAATGATCCATGGCACATATGGAAGTATGAACAGTTATTCACCCTGCATGTTGAACGACTATTGCAGCAAGAGATATCCACGTCCTTTCTGTAATTTCACTCAAACGCCCTCAACACTGGCTCCGCTCCCTTGCTAATGAAGGTTCTAGTGTTCTTGATAATTGGTGGGTGTTACCATGTAACCCTGTTTTGTTACATATATTCCTGGCACATATCAACGTAGAACTCTGTAATTCTGTGAAATGCAGTAAATATATTTGCGAATATGACAATAAAGGCAGTGATCGAGCGGCTGTTGTATTGTTGAATTGGTTTAATGAGGTGTCCAACAATTTAGTTAGGTGTTACATTAGCAGTTCTGAGGCTGTGTGTAGAATCTATCGTTTTCTTATCCACGATGCATGTGGCAGCCGTCCATCGTGCGAATGACCAAAAAATATATTTCACTGCTGACAACATATCAAACAAATTACAGAATCCTCCCATGACCACACTTGTAGCATTCTTTGAGCTTGTTAAAATTGATTTGTTTGCGGAGCAGCTGTTACAGTTATGTGTCAGCTCATCAAATTTGTACAGGTAACAAGTTCAGTCGTAGAAGGCAAGGTGAACCTGTTCCCAATCATCCAGGTGTGATGTCATTGGCAGAGTGTACACAGTAAATCTTAATAATGCGGAGCGTTATTACTTCCGACTATTGCTACATGAAGTCAATGGCCCCACTTCTTTCACTGATTAGAAAACTGTGTCAGGAGTATTACATCAGAATTATCAGTTAGCTTGCCGAGCTCTAGGATTTTTGGAAGACAACGTTCATTGGGAACGTGCTCTGCTGGAAGCTGCCATATCCGATTCAGCGCACAAAATGCGACTTCTGTTCACTGTGATGTTGACATTTTATCAATTGGATAATCCATTAGTGCTTTGGAAAAATTCAAATAAGACTTTTCTGATATTTTAAAGAGGCAAGTTGAAAATAAGTGTCAAGAAATTAGTGATATAAATGACGAACACTGTATGAATATTGTGTATAATAAGACTTTGCTGATCTTAGAATAGGTTTTTCTCAAATGTATAACCAATCTTTAGAAATTAATGAGTTTTCGTTGACGTTGACGACAATGTACAAGTTAAACGAAAAGCAGATTCAAGCATTTCTCTCTAGCATTCTTACAAATGCGGGACAGTGCTTACCGTGTTAGAAAAAATCATAGCATCGCTATCTCTGTTCCTTTTTCGGGTATAGCGACCACATTGTTGGATGGTGGGAAGACCGATCACTCTGCTTTTATCTGGATCTCAACTTTGTCGATAAGCACATGTGCAATATTTCCAAATAAAGTGACACAGCCAAAGTACTTCGAGAGTGTTAGTTGATTGTTTGGGATGAATGCACAATGGCTCACAATGGAGGTTTACATGTGTGTCAAAAACGCAACATGGGTCAAAGAAAGAGCGACTCTCACTTCAAAAAATTATATTGCCAGCGATATTAACGATTTGTTATTGAGCCAACTTTCGACTGGTCTGGTCAAATTCTAGTATGTGGACACAAAAGTGCAATTAGAAGAGACTGTTCATTATCCTGTAGAGTTTTTGAATACTCTTAATACACGTGGAAATCCACCTCACCATCTTAGTTTGGAAGTTAAAGTTCCTACCATGCTAATACGAAACTTGATTCCGCCGAAACTTTGAAACGGCACCAGACTTCAGGTGATAGCTTTTCGTAAGAACGTTATAAAAGCCACCATTTTTACAGTATGTGGGCGAGAATTCATTAGCAGTGGACTGTATAGTATTGAAATTTACATACACATGTATATCGCCAATGACAAAAATCTCTCACACTCGCCTTGATGGTTGACACAGCACACAGAGTACTGGATAAAAGTACCTGGCAACAAACACAGTAGAATCTTTATTAGGGAACTGTCTGAGAAAATAATCGAAGAACTACCTCAATATAGTAGGGATCGGCTCAGAATAATTACAGGGTTACTAACTGGTCATTTTCCGCTTAGAGGACACCTGAATAAAATGGGTCTGTACAAGGCATGCAATATTTGGACGTACAAAATTACGCCCAGAGGGATATGAAGAACATCCAACACGGAACCTGTACAAAATAGTACAGGGAACAAGACTGATGGAATGGGTGTCAAAAAAAAAATATGAATGATAATAATTAATAAAAAAAATTATAGTTTACTCTGAGCACTACTTTGAATTTTAGGTTGAAACAGACTTAAAAAATTACATGAAAGTGGGAAAAATTATTTCGAAACCTGGAGTAATTCCGCATATATTTGATTGCCAGATTGATAGACTCCATCCACTCCACCCACCGTTTGTTCAAAACAAGGGAAAACAAATTTTGTTGAATATTTGTAACGAAGATATCGCTGAAAATCAAATCATGTTTGATGAAGCAGGTACACAGGAAAAGACCTTTCATGTTGAAATTCAAGTTAATAAACAGGTTTTTCGAAGATCAAAAGCCAAACAGACCGTAAATATGATATACCACCGAAAAAGAAATCGTTCTAAAGGAATATAAAATACAGAAAATATTGGATAAAATTTCTACAAAGTTCCCAGAGGTCAGTGAGAGTTTGAGTACATCAGACATGATTTCTGTTGAAACATCATCAGATTCTACTTTGTCTGGAATATTAGTTGAAAACTGGAATTCGAAAAATAATATCGAGCGAACATCTATTCACGTCATAGAGAAAAACCCGAAATTATGTCTTGTAATCTCAAGGTACTCTTTTTTTATTATAATACTTTCGTCTCAAAAATGTCAGTTACCCATAATTGATATATACATTACTTTGAAGAAAATTGAATTGAATTGGCGATAGCAGCGATTCATAATCTCCAACTACAAGCTCGTTTGCCTGGTGTGACGTCAAGATGTACCGCGGACGATCTCACATTTTCAATTGTTGTTGCTCAGTTGTTGATTGACATATAAACCGGAAAATTTTGTGGGATACTTGGGAGATGATTTACTTGTATAATATATAATTTCCAATAAAAAACTAACTCAGCCTGAATGAGCCCATTCTGTAGCTTGGACGGCCGTCCTTTGGCCGCGGTGGTAGTGCGTCCGACTCACGATCGGAAGGTCGTGTGTTCGATTCCCGTGTGTTCGAGAATTTATCTGGTTGAAGCTGGAATGATTCTGCAACCGCGGTAGCTGATTAACGGAAAAACAGATTTTTTTCAATAATTATATCATATTTGAAACAATCAACAGTAGTGTGATGTTTATATTTTTTGAAATATACTCACTTTATCCCCCTCTGATACATCAAGAGTGATTCCAGACACAAAAATATTCTCACTGTTTTTGATAAAAAAGCAATGATGTGGGCAATTCTTCACATAAAGATCCTTAAAAAGTGAACCGCCGGATGCAACTACGTTGATTAGTTGTGGTTTGGTTATTCCTTTGTCACCCTTATGATCCCAATAGAGTTCGCCTTGACCGTTAATCACAGAATCTGTCAACAATATAGTTTGTATTATCTTTCAATTATTCATATGACGGTGGTCGACGCTAACGCAAACAAAACTTCATCTACTTATTCCTCTATTCAAATCGAATTAGAAAATCGGTGTCATTCAGAATTTGAATTTGATAAATCACAAACAACTTCACATACATGACAAAAAAATATTCAAACATGCCATTGACCCAGAATACCCAAACATTAAAATGTTTATTTCAGAAGTTTGGTCCGTTTTCATGAGTCTACTGTAATATTTCAGTGAACACTTATTCAATTAAATTGAAATTTTGCCAGCATAAAAATTGTGTGCTCGGTAAGATTATTATATCCCCAGATCAAACAATCAGCAATCAAGAAATCCGTAACCCTAACATTGGTATTCTGTTATAATATAGTGATGTTTACATATATAAGGGCTAATATTACCAATTATTTTCAGTTCATTGTACTAGTTTGGAAATATCCTTATAGGACGAAACTGCAGTAACGTTAGTTACAAATGAAAGTGATAAAAAAATATAGAAAGTTCAATTTCTCTTTTTTTGATGATTTCCTTTCACCTAGTAATGGCTCGTGATATTGGATTTTTATTTCTCATTCACAATTTTGAAAAATGATATTTTTTCTATGCGAAACTCTGGACCATTTTTTCTTAATTTTGGGCTTTCAGAAGGTGAAAGATTTGAAAAAGAATGTATTGAGTTTTCAGAGAAAGTATGAAGTGAATAAAAACAATTACAATTTCTTCATGCAATGTTGAAGAATAATCATGTGAAACAGTTGTGAAAAACTCAAATTCTCAGCAGATGATTGGAAAATCTTTCACTTCATTAACTCTACATTAACTCTATCCTCTACTTCTTCGATTTAATTTTTCTTCAAGCGGCGTTGGTTTCTCACAGTTGATTATTCTCTTTAAGTATCTTTATGTACCATACCACAACCATAACCCATTATGTATGTATAATAATGATAATAATGATAATTTTCATTTGCATTCAATTACATGGTTTCTTTTGTACTCAAGTAGAGATTCTCAACAGTTCAAGTCATCTCTAATTTCCATTCTCTCTCTCTCCATAAAGTGTTATTGAAATATGTTAGTCGCTTCAAAATCAATTTGTCTACCGAAGAATAATGAATGTGATTCATATTTCTGGTAATTAGGACGAAAATTGTCAGTAGAATGTTCAATAATGTCTACCGCAGTTGTAAATAAACCATCAGAAGAAAAAAGAAAACCTGCAGGTCACTGTGAACAAACCTGCAAAATATCTTTGACAATGTTATCTCCGACTATGAAAATGTACAGTCCTGGAATGTAATATATTCATTCAGATCATAATCACTTTAGAGAAATATTTCTGTGATTGTTATTGAAAACGATTCAAGCATTTCATACCCCAAAATATTCTCCCATATTATGAACTCACTTCTTGTTCCTTGAACCGTGATTCCGTCTCCTTTGAATTCCAATAAAGGTCCACTCCAAGCATGAAATCCGAAAGTGATAGTGCCCTTCAGAGTCACAATAGATCCTTTTCTCAAGTTGAACTCCAGAGTTTCACCAGCTGGAACGGTGACATTAAAAACAGTTATTTCTGAACAACGTTCTACAACCAAAAATACTTCCGAATAATTATGAATTGCACAAAGTTCCGATCCTATGGAAACATGGATGGAAGCAAACATTAGCGTTAATACTATCGTAAACATGATGAATGAATAATCCCATTCAATGATTATTTACCTTCAATTTATTGAATATTTCATTCTAGATTGATTGGCAAATTTGATAACTTATCAGCAAAATACGTGTGATTACATACTGAAATCTTTTGACACAACATCAGGCGGTTCATGATTCTGTAAGACATGATCTTCCTCCTCTTATTCTGGTTTGAGAACTTCCAATTTGACCTCCATCTCTTGCACAGCAGGTTTTGTATAGAAACATACTGATAGATAGATAGATAGATAGATAGATAGATAGATAGATAGATAGATAGATAGATAGATAGATAGATAGATAGATAGATAGATAGATAGATAGATAGATAGATAGATNAAGATGGACTTATAGACTGATTCCCGATATCGATACTTGGGTAAATCGACCATATGGGGAAGTTGACTATTTCCTCACACAAGCTCTGTCAGGACATGGCTGTTTTCGTAAATACCTACACGACCGTAAGAGATCCGAGACCGCAACATGCACCTACTGTCCCGAAGACGACGATGCTGCGCACACCCTGTTCGTATGTGCAAGATGGGAGGACACTCGCACTGCATACCAGCAAGGAACTGGGCGTATATTCACGCCACAAAATATGATGGAAGATCTATCATCAGGAGAACACACTTGGGGTCGTAGCTATAAAACGATAAGATCCATTATTGAAATTAAGGAGAGAGAAAGCAGACCATAAGTTGTAATGCACAAAAATTGACACTACTAGTTTTTCTGAACTGAACAACGGCCCGCGTATTGAAGTAATGCGAAAGCGGTTCCGGTACGTGGTGCTTGGAGAGAGGAGGGGTTTTAGTCGGTAAGAATCCGACACTCTCGGCTTCACCGGGGTCTTATGCAAGATTTCCCCTCCTCTGATTTTTCATTCGTTTTTTGTTGTCTTCTTATCTGTATTTGTTTCATCATTGAGTAAAAAATCCCGGCCTTATATCTTGTTGGAATGTTTTTTTTGTCTTGCTCTAGTAATATTCTCTTCGAAATTGTCCAGTATCAAGATGACACAATCTGTTGATGTGCCTCTTAATCCACATCAAAATTTGTGGACCTCAAACTAAACGGGGAAAATATTTAACATCGAACATATGATGGAAGATCTCAAAGGAGGAGAGACCTCATGGGACTGTGCATACAAAGTAGTGAGGAAAATTATCAAGACAAAGGAGAGGGAGAGTAGAAATTGAAGCCTAGTTACCATATTTTTTGTTTTTGTTTGTTTCTCCGATCTTTGGATATATGCGAGAGCGGTTCCCGGTACTTGGCACCGAGAATAGGGGGAGGGGTTTTAGTCGGTAAGAATCCGGCACAGCGTCTATGAAGATTTTCCCTCCTCCTTAAAAAAAAAAGATGGGTAGGTAGGTAGGTAGGTAGGTAGGTAGGTAGGTAGGTAGGTAGGTAGGTAGGTAGGTAGGTTAGGTTAGGTAGGTTAGGTTAGGTTAGGTAGGTTAGGTTAGGTTAGGTTAGGTTAGGTTAGGTTAGGTTAGGTTAAGTTAAGTTAAGTGAAGTTAGGTTAGGTTAGGTTAGGTTAGGTTATGTCCTAGGAACTTGGACGTTTTCACCGCTAAAAAAAGGTGTTTGCGTCGGGGGAAGTAGCAACACTTTTCTTTCCCAGGCCGGTGTTACGCGAAGTAAATAGCCTCTCCATCAGCACGACCGTTGGGTGCCTACTCGTGGCGGACCTGTCTCTTACAAAACTTAACGGATCTAGAGGGGGAATCCTCGAAAACATAATCCTCCTAGAGACACACATTTCGTGTGCAGGGACGGCGACCCTGGGATTTCTCTAGCCGGACCTCACTTTTCTTCATCTAGTCTTGGGTGAGATCCACTTTCGTCTGTCTGTCGGTCTCACTTGACCACCTCTTGTTTTCTGACCCCGACGTTACTAGGATATCCGAGGGCAAGGGGTCTTTCAACTTTCTCACTAACAGGTATAGGGGAGGCGGCTGTACCCTCTCACCTCCCAGCTGCTCCCTGGCTCCTTCTAAACACCTTGGTAGTGGGCTAAGGAGTAGCTACCGCGTCCCCCAATCCCAAGGTGTAGCACCATCGCGTCGAAGGGATGCATGGCACAGGGGTGACTATGTGTGTCTTGAGCGATGCCCCCTGGAAATGGCGACCCAGGGGGGACATAGCCTTACCCCTGCAAGCGGGGCTCTGCAGGGGTGGACAGACCTTTCCCTAGCTACTCGTGGGAACAAAAATGAACGTAAGCGAAAAAACCAAATTAAAGTTGAACGTGGGAACTGACGCACCTGAGAAGAAGAGGGAGCGAAATGATGAACTTGAGACCAAGGGGGATAGACTATTGAGAGAAAAGAAGGAGAGGGAGGAGTATGAGCGGGAGCTCCTCCAACAGCACGAGAGGAGAGTCTCAATCGGTCACTCACCGAAAAGAGAGATACCTCATTGAAGTGGAGATAAAACACCCAACACTTCCGGGGCGGAAGGGGAGGACATCATATGTGCTCTGGACAATAAGGTCATGGATGAAGATCTGCCCAAGGGCTCCTCATTAAAGCCGGTAGGGTCACATGCGGAAGAGAGCTTGTCCGAGGAGGAGGCATCTCAGCCGGAAAAGAAAAGGAAGAGGCAGAAGACGCCCAAAAAAGGAAGAGCAAAGGGCGAAGTAATCAAGGCGATGGAAATAGAAGGGCTGCAGGAAACAATAGAACGCCTTGCAGATAAAACGGATCAGCTGATGAAACTGATTAAAATGAATGTGAACACCAAGGTAGAAATCAAGAAGATTTCAAGGAAACTGGATGTAGAGGCACACAGGCTGAAGAAGAAGGCCGCGGTGTTGAATGAAATGGGCACAATGGAGGTCAAGAAACAAAGTATATGTGGCATGGGGACACAAACAGACAAATCGGATGTAATGGAAGAAGAAAAAATCAGTAGGAATGCTGAAACGGTAGAGATTGGCACACAAATGCAGGAATCCATCGACAACAGAAGGAAATGTACATGTGCAGCAAGACTAAACTCAGCGGATGACCTAAAGCCAACCATGGAATACGAGGAGTTCAAACAACTGAAAAGCCTGAACTGGGACAGCTCGGTATTTACAAATACTTAAGTCACTGTCGGAAACCCTCTGTTGACAAGTGATGATGTGGTCAAAGTGGTTATTGTGGAGCCGGAGGGCCCCGGGATGACTAATAGCATACAAAGGCTATATAAAGATAGACATCCGGAGCTAACTAAGCTAAAAGGTGAGTTAGAGGTTCTGGAACAGACAACCAAGATCAGGGGGACAGGTGAATCCAGGAACAAAAAAGTCATCAAGGTAACACATGACGGGACGGAAGAGGGGGTATGGAAGAGTATGGTCATGGTTAGGAACGAAACCCTGGAGGACAAGCAGATATGCATACACCACGTAAGGGCTCTGGATAATGAAAAATCACAGAGGATGGTGGAATGCATATTCCACCAATCTAACACTAGGGTGGGGATTTTCACGATAACGGACAGAGGAGAGAAGAAAAAAGAAAGGAATACTTATGGAATTATGATCGCCGGAGGGGATATGACATATCGAGACATGTTGGGTAAGTTCAAGGACGCTGTGGCGACAGAAGATTCAGCAATAAAGGCCATAAGAAACATAAGGGGCACCAAGGACGGAAAGCTGCTGATCACGATGGATAGAAATCGAGAGGCTCTGGATAGTTTAAGAAGATCAATAAACAAAGCGGGATGCTTAACCTCGAAGGGACTCGGAATCAGAGGAGCTGTGGATACGGTACATATTAGAGGTATAGAGTGCGATGTGACTCCCGAGCAAATGAGCCAAGCAATAAAGCAGGCAACCGGCGAATGGAACGAGGAGTGTAGAGTGAGGGACATAAGTTCTTCGCAGAATGAGACCACTACAGCAACAGTGACTCTTCCTAGGAATATAGCGGCCGAGCTGCTTAAAGAAGAGTTCATAATAATTGGGCTAGTACGGTGTAGGATGGAGAGACGCATCAACGTGAACAAATGTTCAAAGTGTTGGAGCTTCTCGCATAAAAAGAAAAAATGCAATGGACCAGACCGATCTGAAGACTGCTTCAGATGCGGAGCAAGTGATCACAAGGCAACGGATTGCACCAACGAAAATTTCTGCCCAGTTTGCAGGGAGAAGGGGCATAAAGTAGGCACAATAAAATGCCCGGTGTTCAGGGTAGCACTGAAAGAGGCAAGGAACAGAAGCAGAAGATACAAGAGGACGTATACAAATACGCAACAAACCACCTCGTATACCTTTGGGAGTGTCTTAGAAGCTGCAACTCAAGATCTGGTCAAGGGGCTGGAAAAAAACGAAGAGAATGTAAGCGGAAGAACCACGGACCCCAGCCAAGAAAACATGATGACCACAGAGGTCATCATGTTTTCATGATGCTCATACAAACGAGCACCACCGTAGTCTAGAAATCTATCATATTAACTCAACCACTCCAAATAATACAACTAAATGCGGATAGAAGAAGAGACGCGCACCACCTCCTACAGAGAACAGCGACTGAAGAAAACGCGGATATAGTAGTCATTCAGGAGCCGAACAAGAGTATCACCCGGAAAGACACGAAGTGGATACTGGACCTTGATGAGAATACTGCTATATGGTGTAGAAACCGAAATTGTGGGGTTCTGGACCACGTCTCAGAGCAAGGATTTGTGTACCTTAATTTCAAGAACTGGGCTCTCTATAACTGTTATATTTCACCTAACATTCCACTTACCGAATTCAAGTCTTACATCGATAGACTGGCAAACCATATACGTGATGGTAGGAAAAATAGCGTGATCATAATGGGTGACTTTAATGCAAAGTCCAACCTATGGACCGAGCATAGGGCAGATGCTAGGGGCCAATACGTGGAGGATTGGATTAACGAGCGAGATATGACAGTTCACAACATATATAATGAACCCACTTTCATTAGGGGAATGCAGTCCTCCACAATTGACCTCACACTGTCCTTAGGAAGAATTGGGTCGAAGATCAAGGAATG